TGTTATAATTTGCTGCTTCATATAAACTGCATCAATTTCATTTGAGGCCTTGTTTGATATCATGTATTTTGTCTGTGTCAATGTATGCTCCGTCTGTGTTCGTAATTTAATTCAATAACAAAATGTTCACCTTACTTGCAGGCAATTTCAATGTTTGACAAACAAATGTTGTATGACCGAAGAATGACAGTACGCATGGACAGGGGTGTAACAGATAAAGGCGAAGTGAGGTTACCAGAAGGCTTGAAAAGCATTGGTCTTGGTCTTGGACCAAACGGGGAACCTTTGAGAGATGTTGCAAGGAATCTCCCAACTCAGACACCAACAACCACTAATCTTAGTCTTGCTAATACTGGGACTGCATTAGGTGCTGGAGTTTTGGGTGCAGTACCCGCTGCTGGTGTGACTCTCAATGGACTTGGAGCAGGATTGTCAGCTAATACTTTAAATACAAACACAGCATTGGGTGGTAACTTAGGACTACAGGTAAACACAACATATTATAAAAACAATAAACAATTATCTCTTTACTTGTTATTTATTAAGGTTCTTCACTAATTGTTCTTATGTTTTTCAGGCATTCAGTTTGACTGGCTTGGGAGCCTTACAGAATCAGTTGTTGCAACAAGGTTTGACTGCTAATGATCTGGCTACAGTGCTAACAGCACAAGCTAATGTTAACTCAAATAACTTGGGACTTGGTAATACAGACTTAGGGTCAAGCCTCAATTTGAACAACTCCAGCTTGGCCAATAGTGTGATGGGCAACAATACTCTTAGCTCAGGACCACTGTCAGGTAAGTAATTTTTCTTTATTTTGTAATAAATAAGTAAATTTTATACTATTGGTCTCTTTTGGAAAGTCCAATCAACTTTCTGTTAGCTTCATACACATTTCACATGGAAATCATATTAATATATTCTACAGTTAGACTAAGAACAGAAGTTGGCTCAGATATTGTGAATTAAATCATAAAAGATAACATAGAAACTCGTTTGTCTGTTTATCGTTACACATATTACTTCTAGGCACTAACAGGCAAATGGGTGGTGTGACAGTTTCAGCCCAATATGGACGAGATCCTGGAGTCCAGCAATCAAGCAGGGACAAATCATCTGATATGGTCATCATTACTAATGTAAGTATTTATTACACCCTTTATGCAAACTTTTATGTATTACTGTGTTAAATTTCAACTAAACAAATTGTAAATAGTTATAACAATATCATTTCAAAATAATTATACACTATTTCTTTCCAAATATAAAAAAGGTGTTTCCCTAGTTGCCGCCAACAGTGACGTGGCAGTTGATTCGCGAGAAGTTTAGCGAGTGCGGCGATGTGAAGTTCGCTGAAATGACTGCGCCCGATACTGCCGTGGTCCGCTTCCATAAGGAGTGGGATGCAGAAAGAGCTATAAGTATCCTTTTACAAGAAGAAACAAACTAAAATTGGTACTTTAAAGAAAGTTCCTGATCGAATTATACTGCAGTTTCATGAAGAACGATTATTTTTATGGCGTAGGGCTGCAACGAGCATAGGTTGACGGTAAGCATTCGACACCGCTCATGGACACCCTAAACATCGAAGGGTTACACGAGCGTTGCCAGCCTTTTGTGGATTAGGAATTTGAGGATTGGATGATTTGGGAGTTGCGAAAGGGAGAGGGAGGAAAAATTAGGCCTCCTCACAAAGTGAAAGACAACGCAATCGTTGTTCTTCTCCAGTTTTCTGCGAGACTAATAATTCCAGTCAAGCCGACCCATTTGTATTTCGGTACATACGGCATTGCATATACATCGCTATAAAATATAAAAGTTAGGCAGTTTTTGGTATAATTTATCTTTGGTTGTGTGTGATATATTTCCTTATTATTAAAATCAGAAATGTTCGATCGCACCCGCATCGACGGAAGGACAATCGATGTTCGCTTTTTCTAGCAGGCGGCCACTGAAGAGTGAGTTCTATTTTTGTTTTTGCATCTTTTTTATTTCAGAAATGTCGATTTTTAGCAAAAACTCGTGCATTTTTTTTCGAAAATTATCGATAACGTTTTGATTCGTCATCGGGAAATATTAGTTAATGAGTAGATTTTTCCAAAACTGTCCAGATTGCTCGCGGTTTGTTATCGTGTGTGTTTCTACTTTTACCTTTTTGGGTGATAGGAGCTTTTAGCGTTTATCTTTAGCCTTTACAACTTTATTTTCTACATTGACTGCTGTCAGATAATAAATACTCCTTAGTTTAGCGTGTGCAATTATCTGCTGTCTAGTGCCAACAATAGCAATAAGCATGTTTCCTGGTAATGCTGTTCGTCCGGCTTGCACCTTATTGTCTTACCTCGGAGACGGATTTTTGGACAACTGCTTCTCCCGTCTTTACATGTCTTGAAATTCTAAAAATCTACCTCCTTATAGGATACTGCCGAAAAATCTACTCATCGTAATAAATCGGAGCACAAACGTTGCACATGAAAGCAGACGCATGCGTCGAATAGACATTTAAATGTTGTACTTTTTGTGATTTCAGGAAAGTTTTGAAGTCGGTCTGATTCTGGGTTTGTATACACTCTGCTGCTGGGATAATGGAATACTTTCTCATCTTCGTCTTGAATAGTGTTTGGTGATGTGTTTTCAAAACTTTTCTCGATTGACGATGAATATCGATACATGTGTATTTTAGGTTAAGTTAATGTAAGCATCAAGTATGTTTCATGTAGCCTCTATGTAAAGCTTAATAAATTTCATTGAGGAAATAATATGTTGTTATGCTCCATCATTTTGACAGATCCATTAAAATGCAATGTTTATCAGTGTCGATACTGAATCGGTTCCTTGTAACATGTGCAGAAAACGTCTCATACTATTTTGAGGTATTAGGCAAACAGTGTTATCGTGCAACTGGTGATCTCGCTAGTCGCTAAGTGTATATCTAAACATACGCAAACTTGTTGTAGCGACTGTTCGATTGTAGAATATCGCAGTAATTTGGCAAATATCAAGTCTCAGCTTGCAATTGGGTTCTAAGTAGAACGAGTTAAGGATTGAGCAGACCATCGACAGTACACCGCATCGACGATGTTAACAATGAAAAAAGTTTGAGAATCGGCGTTAAATGGTGTTTGTGTTTTCGTGAATTGCTTTTGAATATCAATTCTATCGCCAGTTCAAACTTTGTTGAGTTAGCACGAAGTAATTTTATTTGGTGAAGATATTTATCAATGTACTAATTGCTTCATCAAAATGTCCATTGACCAATGAAGTTGGTAACGAATTTGCCTATTTAGTAGAAACTGTGTGCTATTATATTAAAACTGGAATTCGGTCGTCATTTTTTTTCGTACTGCACTTGATCGTTAGCTGTGTATAACGTGAAATAAATAACCCAGAGAGCGTTGAATTTTGTTTTCTGAAAATTATAGTTTACTCACATTTTTACCTCTCAACCTGTGATAATAAAATTATTGGTATCGAGGATATGTTGGTACTCCTGTGCTTACTTCACAAATAAAGATTCACATTGAGCTGTCTCAGTCACCACGAAAAGTTTTCGAAGATTGCAAAAGTTGGGTCTGTGATGCGTCGAAATTACTATGAAATACGTCTTCAAACTTCTTCGACTCGAATGGTAAGTTTGCCGTCATGGAACTTGGATTTTTGTTATTTGTTTCGGGTGTGCATGGGGTTTTATAGAAATGTCATATTTAGAAAAATGTTCAGTCTTGAGTAACTCTGAAAACAGCTGATATTGTTTAGATAGCGGCGGGTTTCCAAATTTTTTAAACTACATAACCCTTCTACATGTCATGGTACATCCAGCGTCTGAAGGATCTACTAGAATACTGATGGCTATCGGTCGATATCATCGGTTCTGCAAGAAGATTGGTTTGGTCGGTCCGTGAGCGCTGCCTGTAGCCTTTGTATTCTCTACACCAGTGGACGCAAAGTAATCGCCTAACAAGATTCGTGGTAATAAAAATTTGGATGTAGGTACTGTGTCATCTTTTTCAAGGTTTTGTGGTTCATGACATGTTGATTACTAGATTAAGTTCGAACTTTTCGTCGACCGTTTATTCTGATTCAACGTGGATCAATTTAAACCTTTGTTTTAATAGACATCTCTTTCAGATTACAATGGATGAGCTAAATTGTGACAATTTTGCCAATGTATCTGACATGAAGAGCATGATTCTAATGCAAACTGAGACATGACTGCTTGATTGAGCTTACTAAGATGCAGGTATTAATAGACTTATAACTCAATCCAGTTTTAATCACTTTGACTTTCCATACCACTATGTAACTTTTGTATTTTTAAACAGAACGCCACCTCGAGTCAAGCTGTAGCCATCAGGAAAGAAGTTTAAAATAGCATTGAGCGACTAAAGTATAATCGTTGGCGAGTGAAGAATTATTATGGGCCACGCCTGTGTGTGAAATGTGTGACTATAAATGGCCTGAAATATCTGTACAAAGGGAATTGAATGGTCATTGCTTGGAAAACGGAGAAACCTTTTGATCTCTTATGAGGACAAAGTCAGTCCATGCACTTCATAAACATCCGATAGAAACGGTTCAGCTAGCACCATGCGTCCAACAAGTACACTTAGTGCAGCAAAATATATATATAAAATTGTTTCAATGCAAAAGGTAAGGCAATGAATACACGTATGTACAATGTCTTGAGATATCAGAAACGATATTGATGTTGTACGCCAACTACGATAATATATATATTTACTTTGTTACAGGTAAACTATTGGAATCTTACCTAACTTAACTTAACCTTTTTAATTATACCTTTTTTAAGACTAGTGACTATAAATGAAAGTAATTTGTAAAAAGAAATTGAATATACTTTTTTCTCTAAATTTGCTTTTTTTTATTTGAAAATCTGGTTATTTTTGACTTCTTATATCGCCGCCATATTCCTTTTCCAATTTGCATTAGTTCGTAAATAGGGATCCTTACCGCAGTGAGTATAAGTTCCATTATTGAAATTACTGATGTTCCAATACATAAATTGACGACACCACCACTACGCACTGCAAGGAAAATTGCGTCACTTAATTGATAGAATATTCAACATGATCTCTATCAACAGCCTGTTAGAGTCCACTATAACACAGGCACCAAATAAATAAAATAGCAGTATTCTCCACGCTTAGCAAGCGTGTTGGACCGTTAGAGACTATCGGGTTAGGTTAAATATCTATATAATAGAAAATAATGTTTTACTTACAAAAGAGATCATAAAAGCTGAATATGATTTCCCTTCTGACACGTACTTTTGGGAATGCAGAAACGCTTAGGCGCATTCGGTTGAGACCTACTGTAGGTACAAATTGCTCATGATCGTTTTTAAACACATCCTCTTCACAGTTACCTAAGCAGCCACAATCGCGAAAAGATCTCGGCAAATCGTCAGTGTTATCGAATTTTTCCATTGTTTCGTTGTCGATAGACAGCTTCATAATTTCTTTCTTGTACTCAAGAACACACTCCAATTCTGCTAAGTTACATATGGTTTCGTGATCTGAAACATTGACATAATTAGGCACGTCGACTTCCACTAGAAGCACACTGACCGACCGACACCGACCTATACCATAAAAAAACGAAGCTGAACATAGCGTCTGGTATACATTCTAAGCCTACTGTAATAACTAGGTATGTAGGTACTTAATTAAAACTCACTTTGATAACACTAACATCAAATAATCACAACCACTTACGGAGATACATGCTCTATGCTCCAGATATTCTATATATTAAAGAATAGGTACAGCACTTACCCAAAGGTTTGTAAAAGTGTGGTATACAGTTACATAGTTTGAATATCATTTTAATTCTACAATCCATCAGGCATCGGTTGTATGAGTAAATTGGATATCGTTTAGTAGTCGTTTCGTGCATAAATCTGCAATGGCCAATTATTTTGCTCGTTAACAACAATTCAATTTTGTATCCAAATCCAATACAATAGAAAATTCCACAATAGTTTTAATATAACGACATATATTCCATGAATGGGTAAAGGGCGCTATTCACCGTAACCGTAACACCCATTTTGTCAGTTACGTTCTTTCGAGCTACTTATGTCGACTTTAGAATCGACTAGGTAAACTAACACTACTCGATAAGGCAATCACAAAAAAACATTTATAACCGACTGTCTGTCTTAATAAGAAAACACATACAACACAAACTAAACAGGCAGTCACTTAAGCTTTACAATCGCATTATTCTTACCTGCATTTCCGAAGCTGCAAAGGAATGTACTTAAGATCCTCGGATGCTCTAGTGCTCGTAATTTGCACTCCAAAAGACAAGAACCCTTCGCTCTCGAATGTTAACGCTGGTGTTCCACTCAGGATTACTTCGTCGGGACTCAAAGTATAAACCTGCAATTACGGACTCTATATTTTCAGTGATAAGTAGGTACCTAATAGCGCGTATTGCAATAATTTATTGCGCAATTGGAAGTGATTTATCAAATTATAGTTTAAAAAAGGAAATAGGTCTATTTGAGAACTAACTACCTGTCGAGTATACGCGTGCAACAGTTTTGGTTTATTTAAACGTAATCTGTGGTTATTTATCTAGTGCTTTTACTGATAGCTACGGGGGCAATGTTCGATGGAGTAAATCATTATAAATAAACAGAAACTTCATAATTTATTTTTTATGATATACGTCGGCAAACGAGTTATGGGATTACCCGATGGTAAGCAATCAACTTTGCCCATAGGTATCCGCAACACCAAAGGAGTAACGTGGGCGCCTTTTAGGGATAAAGAATTGGGATTTTTAAGGATTGGGAAGGCATGGGGGTGTGGGAGGAATTGGGCCTCCGGTAACCTCAGTCACACGCCGAAACACAACGCTGGTTTTCGTGGGAGGAATTGGGCCTCCGGTAACCTCAGTCACACGCCGAAACACAACGCTGGTTTTCTGTGAGGCCAGGGTATTAATCTAGTCGAGCCGACCCATTCGTGCCGAAGCATGCCTCTTCCACGCTTCTAAAATATACGAATTATACGAACCTTATACACATTGGCGTAGTTAAGTATCTGTACAAAAAAGTCCATGTCGTGTACAGAGAGCTCAATGTTGTTTTTGGCGTATGCCACACTGCTGTCACTCCATTTGCTACAATACAAAACGAGAACGTTACCTAATGGAACGGTCCGTGTGGTGCTTCGTCATGCAAATGTAAGTGCATTGCCTACAAATGAAAAAGCTGTTAGAATGTGAATTTAAAAATTGGATTCGTTTAGGTTGGTTACGTTGCGAATTAGTTTTGATTTGTTTCGAGCTACATAGCATTTTTCCGTTATTGACTACCAATTTTTGTAATAAAATGTGAGCCGAGTTTGAACGTGCTCTTAAACTAAAAAATGAAACAATCGAATTGAAAAAGGAAACTAATATGATACCTCTATGCGTGCTAAAGTTGGTAAGAAAGCATTCTGATATAAGTAGGTATTCGCTAGCATATATGGAAGTATCGCAATGTTGTGCCAATTTTCTTATAGATACATATATGTACAATGAATTAATGAACGAGAAACACAATAATTTGATAATTTTGGGTGGTCGTTTCTCGCGTTCAGGACCCTAGTTTCAGAAGCCTTCACTAATCAATTCTACCTTTGTATTAACAACGTTAATTGGTTTGGACGTGTTTACGTTTAGTGTATTTTAAGAGACAGGCTCAGGCTTGGGTCAGGCTTGGGTTTTCGAGGCTTGCATTGATTCGTTACGGGACGGTAAAGGTATGGAATCGACCATGTACTCGTTGACATTATTTATAAGTTAACTCTATTTGCGATGTATAGATGGTACCTATATGCATTATTTAACACGCAATAGTGGGAAGACATTTTTGTTTGTTTTAAAGTTGAAAAAGGTTACCTTGTTTGGTTGACCAGAAACTGTAAGGAATCTATAAAATATAGAAAAGGGCTGATGGGTTTCATAAAGTAAGTGAAGAATAAAAAGGTTTTGAATGCATAAAACAATATCAGGCGTTACAATTTCGTAAAAGGATTAGTCAGGCGGGCGACATGTTAACTCGTCAGTTGTTAGTAACATCTACATACATATAAATGTTCTCACTTTTCATCAGTCGTTATAAGTCTCGTGTAGGTACCTAATTAAAATGACAAATAATACATGGAAATAAAAAATTTGGTTACTTACGTAGGATCATCAAGTATGGCAACGTTCGAATTTATTATATGACACATTCCCATCTCCGTCATGGCACTATCTATTGTAATGGGCCATTTTGGCATTGTTGTTAAAGTTTGACTTTTAAATTTCTTGAACAAATCTGCGGCTATTGTAGCGTAGTCCTCAGGTTTAATGAGCTTTAAAAAAACATTGATTATTTACATCAAAATATAAAATATAGAAATGTACAAGAATTGTCACATTATGCCGACAACAGTAGATACATTCTTAAAAGAGACAGGTCCGTAATAAATATGTAACTAAAAATTAAATAACATTTTGACTGACTGAGAGAATTATTAGTATATCATTGAAGTACTGCTTCTTTAATAGATAGGTACTATGTACCAGGTACTTACGCACTATTACACACAAATATTAAAGGACTATGTGATTTAAGGTAGCATTAGTAAAGACCTACCTACCTTCAATATTTCGGGTGGTGGAACCAGATCCAGGACATTCAAAGCTTCCAAAGACACGGATATAATGGCCAAATAGAATGATTCTAGATTGTAACCAGTGTTGTTGAATGTTTCACTGCAATGGATAAACAATTTAGTGATAATATTAAGCTGCATTCAACTCTATCGGAGTGCTGATGGCTGATGAACATAGTGACCGTTGGGGTTGACGTGATATGAGGTGGAGAAAGCCTAAGTAAGGTTTTCTTAAAAACCCGATATCAATAAATCTTTAACTTACTTAACATAATCGGCAAATATTTCGTCTTCGATTTTGCTCATAGGGCACAATACGATCGTTGGGTACGAAACATTCCAATTCAAGTAATCTTTCTCCACGCTATTAACTGTGGGTGCTTCCTGAAACCATTTTGCGGTACAATAAAAAAGAAATTACTACGTTATATTACTTAATATTCTTATCTTTGATTTGATTTGTGTTATAAATACAAGTTAACTGCGCAATAAATTTAATTACGTAGTTAAGGTCATAAGGTTTCCTATCGACTTACCACAAGTCTAGTATATTGAGCAGATAAGAGAACGAACATAACAGCACAAGCGGCACCGAAACATGCCGCCCAGAATATTCTGGAACAAATACAAGAAGCAAATCAGTATCCCGTGCCATTTTAAAGAACCGTATGTTTATAAAAGATAGACATGAAATTGGAGACAACCTTGTAGATACACAAGTTGATAAATCAATTACTATTAGGTAGTGTTGTTTAAGAATACCGTTTGGTCGTAGTTCCAAAAAATATAATGTAAAGAAGAGAAATATATACGATGCACAATAAAGAATACCTTTCAAACCAATGTAACTCAGTGTTGGCGATGTAAGGCAAGCCGTGAGTAGTGGAAGTTCTTAACTCGCTTTGTAAATACTTGATCAGTTTCTTAGTCTTTAGCCGGCGCGCGTAATTATCACGTTTCTTCTTAAACGTGGGCTTTTCTTTTACTGCTATTCTCAACATGGCCGCCTCTAACTGCTTATATTTTATTAGTAAGTATTTTCTTTTTGACTTTCACTCGTTCGTGCTAAGAATCAAATGCCTTTGAAACTGACTGATGATTTATTTTCCAAGCTTATGTTAGTGTGTTTGAATAGAGTTTTAGAGAATATAAAGTGATTACTATCATGCTATTGTTGGTTATCAACAATAGATTTGGACGGCCGTGGAGTAAATACATCTAATAATATTTGACCTTCTTAGTATTTCATTTGACGCTCAACACAAAACTTTTGTACACAGATGAAGTACTAAAATAATATTTACAGGTAACTCCAGATGATTAATCATTTCTATTTCGGTTACGAATTCTAATTTCGTAGCCAGCGTAGTCGCTACGGCGTAGTTGTTGCTACAATAAATTTAAAAGTTGACGCGATTATGACTCTTAATAATGTAAAAAACTTTGAACATATAAATATAGATCTAACTTTAAAGTTCACGTAGAGAAAATTCATAACTGATGAAACTAATTATTGTTATTGATAACATTTCAATTCTATGGATTTCATATTCACGTATCACATATCAATCATGCTGCTTCACAAGCAACAATAGCTACAGTATTATATACTTACAGAATAAAAATGTGTACAATACAATGTTTTGTTCGTTGTGCTAACATTTGTTTTTTAATCACCAAAACAACTATCAGTAGTTATTAATTTTATGAAAAAAACTAGATTTTTTTTAATTTAAACATGAATGTTGTGCCTTTGGCTGATGTAATTTAGGAGTTTTTTTTAGCAGATTAGCAATAACTCTGCATTTACTAAGGGATTACTTTTACGACTGTATTCGTAGACTTCGTAGCCACACGCTACGAAATGCTACGATTGTAACTACATGTGATTTTGGGTGATAAACTTGCAGATATCAATATGATTCATTCGTGATTTACGATAACAGTACCGAATGTAATTTTATCATAATTTTATTGAGTACTAGCTTCCTCCCAAGTCTACGTCTGTTTTGCCTGAAAAAATAACAAACATACGACCATAAATTCTCACAAACTTTCACATTTATGGGATTAGCGGTGAAGTGAATGTATTGTTTAAAATACGTAATTGTTCCCGTAGTAACACGTCATATCGTTTATTTCAACTGGGTACATTATCAAAATCAGAAATTATAAGTTGGGTTTCAATCTAATCCACAAATCAGATTCTCATGGATCCTATGCTCAATACTATTAAGGTAACAATACAGAAGTGCGTGGAAAAAAAATATAGACGCACTAGCTTTTGCCCGCGCCATCGTTCTCGTGGAATAGTAACTTCATGCAGATTTTTGGTATAAAAACTATCCTATGTCTGTACCAAATATCACAGAAATCGGTTCAGTAGTTTAGGCGTGCAGAAAAGACAGACAGACAGAGTTACTTCCGCATTTATAATATTAGTTTGGATTTAATGCCTAAAAAGCATACATAAATAATTAATGTATTGCAGAATTCCCATCAATTATTTGGCGGTTCGTTTACATCTTTTTTTACATTATTGGGGTGCCTAAAATCGCCTTTGTTCGTACAAATTGTATTCTTTGTGAAGAAAAGATCGGCGCCATTGTCATAATCTTATAGAGTAATCCTTACAAAGGTTTGAGGGTAACATGTTTTATATTACATATAATAGACCAGTCAAATAATAATAATATTACAATGCACGACCTTTTATTGTGTGCTTATTTTTCTATGTGTGTTTACCTGAAGATCATGTATGTCATATACAAGTGTTATCTATCTAGGGCTGGTCTTTTGGTTAGTCATCAGATCTGTTTTATAATTTTTTGTATGAAAATGAGATAAATATTGTCACTTATCATGGTTACGATAACGTGTGTGTGTATGTTAATGTGTAATGTAATCTTATATACTTATTTGTCACGTATTTCAAGTAGGAAAAATAGGTCAAGACTACCTATCCAAGGAAGACGAGTGAGACGAAATATCAAATAAACCCGATTGAAATAAGCGATGATACCAAAATGGACTTTGAAATTATCTTAATTAAACCTTAAGCTTTCAATTTGTCGAATTGGCCTTAATAAAAGGTCTGATGGTTGAATCTCGTTAAAATGAGGTTGAATTAATTTTGCCGAAAACGTATTTCACGTAGTAGTCTTATTTAAACAATTGAACCATTAGCATTAGTATTTATAAACTGTTTATTCTGTTTCAAATTGCCAATTTAAATTGTAACGAGTCAATGGTGCAATAAAGCCAAGGTATAAATTACGAATGTGTTGATTTATTTAAAATTATCCGCTGTTTAGAATATTCTTGAATTTTGCTTCGAAGCGTTCTTGGTTCCAAATGTTTACACATAAATAAGGTAAACTTAAAAACAAGTGAGTGATTTACTGGCAGAGCAATCTATTTGTTAGCCATAAAACCCACGAGACTCGTTGCAAAGCAAACGCTAACTTTATCAGAATGCCCGTGTTGTAGTCAAGAATGCCCTAATCGGCCATTTGCTAGCGTTAAGCCCCTATTTATTATCGTAACTAGTGGAGCACTATCGCTTTCGGACCGAGTCGGAGATCGTTCCGTGTTTCTTACATGGCCATTTATCTGTACCCTCTTACTAATTCAACAAAACGTGAGAGCCGCCAAGATAACAACTTCGTTTCGAAGATTGTCGATACAATTGTACGCTATCGAGCGATAAAACGGAGGCGGAGCCGCGCCTTCCTTCTGCGTACACAATAACTTATTATTCCGCTTGATGCATGGTTTTTCCTTTAGAAATGCTACGTGGCTACATTACAAATTCTTATAAAGCGTTATGTAGGTACATCAAAATCATTAATTTTGTAAAAATATGGTGTAAAAATCGTGTACTTCTAGTAATCTAGCAGATAAGTACAAGTGTCAGGTGGAATATTGTGAAGAAAACATGATTTCTTTTGTGGTGAACTCGCGGGGCTGGTGTAGTTGCGGCGGGAGGTGTCGGTCCGATCGTGTTGGATCATTACTCTTTGTCAAAGTTGGTCGGTCGCTCACCGCGATCCCGCGCTCTCAATCTCCGGCTTCGGTCGAGCTCACGTAGATTGCTGCATCGCGAAACCTATTTAAACTTAAATAAGAATTGTGAACCATTGTTAGTAGGCTTCAACTTGTTCTGCTGTCGTTCTAGTTGAGATACCCGTTTGGGAAAATTATGCAATTGTCATATCAATTTTATTGTCTTTCAAGTTAATATAACTAGCACTTCATACGTTGAATGTAACTGTCACATTTATGGCGAATTTCTAAGCACAATATTATTAATACTTTAAGTGTGGGAGAGCCATGCTTCGGCACGAATTTGTCGGCTCGACCGGAATGATACCACGGCCTCACAGAAAACCTGCGTGAAATAACCACAGCGTTGTGTTTCGCCGCGTGAGTGAGGTTACCGGAGGCCCAATCCTTCCCCTCCCCCAATCCCTCCTAAATCCCTAAATCTCCAAATCCCTAATCCCTAAAAGGTCGGCAACGCACTCGTAACTCCTCCGTTGCGAGTGTCCATGGGCGGCGCTGATTGCTTATCATCAGGTAATGCTCGTTTGCCGACCTATTAAATAATAAAAAATCACATGATAAAAAGTTCCACCGCGGATGAAAAACTTGTTAAAAAAAACAAATCAAATACCGATATACATGTATATGTAGTGAGATTTCTGTAACACTGAAAAGGTTTAAATTTGATTAATCCATAATAGATAAATTAAACAAGTTGATTTATTGAAGGAAAGCTAGTGAACTCAACCTATTAAAATACAATAAGATGCATTTTCGTTATTATTTACTCAAATAAAACCTGATTATGATTCCGCACACAAAAAGGAGCTATCATAAAGATCTGTGAATCCCGCATAACTTGTTTCAAATTTTATTTATGAAGAACTATTGTTGGGAAGAAAACGAAGTTTTACCGAGTTTTGCGGTCGAACGGAGCTTCGGCGAACAAAGGTAATTTTATCAAAATAGGATAGTCAGGTAGGCAACTAATACACCAAGCAAGACTACTCTACTTTTAAATTTAGGACGATTTTTATATACGTCTAGAATCATTGGGACTAATATTATTTATTTGGACTGTGATGTGATCGGTAGCTTTACTTGTCCGTACTGATTTATCTATACTAATATTATAAGGAGGTAAGGTTTGTAAGTTTGCATGTAGGGGGCAATCTTTGAAACCGCTGGTCGGATTTCCAAAATTTTTTCACTGATACGTAGCTACAATGTTCCTGAGTGCTAATATAGGCTATAAAACATCA